AAATAAGTAAGAGGAGCATACAATGTATCTTTTTAAATAACCTTTTTTCAGAACTTGCTATCTTTGATTTTTAGAATCTAAAAAGAAAGAACAATTTGACCCATTAAAAGTTTCTCTGTATGAAAAGCTGAGAATACTTGCCAGAACTTTGAAACTAATGTCTATCCATTTTTCTTTCTTAGGCCCAGATGTCTGGTACCAACATTGCTTGAGATAATTTATGGTTTATAATTTAATTTATGGTTTCTGCCCAAGGATAAAACAATTCAGACACTTACTAATATCAAAATGAAAAAGAAAATGTAAATGAAACTTTTTTGAGTTTGATCTTTTAATTAACTTGTAGTTATAACATAAAGATGGTAATATAATTGACGTGATATATAAAAGTAAAAAGACTATTTCCCTTCATTACACAATAGAGATATATTTAAAGATTAATGAGACTGGCTTATACAAATATAGATTTCTTTCTTTATGAAAAATCTATATATACATTTGTATACGTATATGTATACAATTTTTTATTTTTATTTTTATTTCGTCTTTATACTCGAAAAAGAACTTATTGATGTATGAATTATTATCTCTCTATGTTATTTTCATATATTCATTTCAGAGAATGAAAAATATAAATAAATTCGCAAATGATTAATTTGTTTCTTTTATCAGTGAATAAATATTATTAATATATTATAAATTAATAATAGTTCTTTTAAAAAGCTATACATTGATGGAGACATTGTTCCCAATTCTGATAACAATGTTAAAATGCTTTTACCTAATACATAATACATAATGCTTGATATCTTGACTTCTGTAATAAATATTCATTTCTGTAATAAACAAGTAATATATTCTTATAAAATTCATTGCTTAAAATCATTTGTTACTTCAATAGAATTGAGATTGAAAGTAAAAATATGAATAGAGATATATTTAGATAATATAAATAAATAAGTACAATATCTGTGATTTGATGCAAGAAATATCAATGCCAATATTTATAAAATTGAGATATTAACAGTTATATTAAAAAATTCATATTTAAATTATTTCTAACATAAATATATATCATATAATATTATATAAATCCCATTATATATATCCCATTTCTAGATAGAATTTAAAAATTATTATGTTTTTTTTTTTATATAAAATATCAAGCAACGTATATTTAAATACAATAGCAAAATGAAGTAAAAAAAAAAGAATTCTCATTATTTTTTAGACTCACCTCATATCATATAATATCACCAATAAACGTAATTTAACCAATATACCTGAATATTGTCTATTATCACAAATAAGTCACAGGATCGACCAATCAGAATGGTACATTTCTTCCCAGCCAAGCCATCTCCGCACAATGCCCATATTCAACCGTGTACCTTCGAAGAAAAGACATAATTGAACACAAGGTTTTCACAGTATCATCGATACAAGCAGCATAAGATGAAAATCCACGTTTCACCCTTTCTTCTTTTCCCAACTCTTCCTCCCCTTATTCCTCTTTTCGCCAGTCCCCGACGGCGATGGATGTGACATTAATAGAACGGCGAGGATTCAGAGAAATCCTTTCCTCGAAATCCGTTCTCGCTAATGGAACCTCCTTTCCACGGGATTCCGATTTCTGATCGGGTTCCGACGTATTCCCCACCTCCTCTCCTCGCTGTCACCGCAAAAGGGTATACTCTGCGCAGAAAGATATTTATCAGAGTCGGTACACCTCCCCCTGCGAAATACATAACTCACGGGACGGGAGAATTATGTCCCAAGACTCGTGCCAGTTTCTTCTTGATCGTTGGCTCCGATCTAGCCTCGGTGTTTCTAGAAAACGTCTTGGAAAACGTCTTGGAAACTCGCGCTTTTCGAGACGAGAGAATGGAAAGGGTTACGAGACCTTCTCACTGTTGTTCATAAGCTTTCTCCCCCTCGCTTTAAAGCGTGAGAATCGATCGTCTTTGAGCGTCGACACGGATGTGTGACGGTATGCAAAGAGATTGGAATAGGGAGAACTTGTTCTTCCGGTGTTAACCCTTCTCCCATTGAGTACAATAGACCTGTGTGCTGACATCGAATGCTCGGATAACGTGTGTTGAACTGGATCGGTATTTGAATATTCGGGTCGAGATGGATATTCAAACCTGATGAAAATTTTTATTTATTTGTTTAATATATGGAGAATATGCGTTAGATTGTTAGATATTTTTATAGGAAACAGATAATAAAATAATAAATTATTTTAAAATAGATATTTTGTAATTGTATATAGAATTTTTCACATACCTAATAGTACATATTTTGCATATTTATATAAAAACATATGCAAGAATATACATGTATATATTACATATTACATATATTTACTGTTCATATAAAATAATATCAAATTAATTTCTATCGACTATTGAATTAAATTTTCGTATTTTAATTATGTAATATCAATTATGTACCTCAATTAATAACAATAATATATATTATAGGCAATCTATTTTTTTTTGTATCCTAAGTTATTAATTGAATAATTGTTTTTTTGAATTTGAATAGTTCAATGATTGTTGTAAAGATAAAATAAATTTTGTGAAAGTTATTTTTGATATCTAAAATATTACAAATTCGGAAAAAGTAAATATTATTAAGACAAAATTGAATTAAAAAATGAATGTAATTTTATTAAATAATAAAAGAAATGAAGAAAATATTTATTATTAAATATATAACAAAAAAATAAAAAATGAAGGAAATATACAGTTAAATGTGCACTGATAACATCGTGTGACAGATATTTTCGATAAAATTCAAATTTTTTATCGATAAATGTCACCAATTAATTTTAAATAATTTATATTACATTATATTAATATTACATTTAATACTTAATGTAATATATAATTAATACTTCATATTGTTAAAAATTATTATTTAATATTATATATTTAGTTTTAAACTATAATATTTAGTTATTAATAACAATCAATTAAGCATTTAATTGGAATAATTTTATTTAATTCGAATAATTAACTTTATTATTCAATAGATAAAATATATTGAATTTGTTCAATCAGTTGACAATAAATATTTATGCATCATGGATATTCAAAATGACATATATACATAAAAAGAATTAAATTTTAAGTATATATAATAACATATTAAGTATTAAATGTAATATTACATATTAGATATCACTTTTAACAATATATTTTTTGTGGTTAATGTAAGATTTTAAAGAAAAAAATTAATGAGTCTTTCATAAAAAATCTTTCACACAATGTTATCAGCACTTATGTAGTTATTTTTATTTCGAATTTTAATTTTTTATTTTGGCAATAAATACGTTGTTCATTCTTTTTAATATTTAATGAAATTGGATTTATTTTCTATTCAATTGTTAATGTTTGTTTTTTCGAACTTTTAGCATTTTACACATACAAGTCACTTTCACTTTCACAAAATTTATTTTTACGTTGCAAAAATTATATTAAACTATTTAAAATGCAAATCACTCTAATTAATTATTAACAATTTAAGAATGAAAAAAATATAATTTGACATAGCCTATAATTAGCATTGATAAGTATTAACTGATTATTGTTATCGATATTACCTAATTACGAAAGTTAATATCAAGTTATTATATATTTAGTCGATAGAAATTAATTTGATGTAATAAATATAACATATGTACGTATCCTCTTATAGATATTTTAAAACAAATGTGCGAATCATACGTATTATGCAAATAATATATTTCACTAAAATCACAAATCACGTTTCTAATCACACAACATATTTCTATAATTATTTGTACTTTCTAAAATATTTAATACGTAAAAAGTTGTCGTTTTACTATCCGAAACGAAAATTGTACCATCCATATTTAATAATTTCGATAATCGAGGTTATACTGTACCATAGAATGAAACTTACAAGTATCGCTCATTATCGATAGTTCTTCGATATCCCCAGTTAAGAGAGTATGTAGATACTTAATTCTCATTTGATTCTCTATTCTATTTCTGCTATTTTTCTTTTATTCTCAGCAAAGAATTTTAATCTGAAACAAAGAGAACGAATCAGTGATTGCCTATCTCACACCATTCGAAACATCGGCTTCGCAAAGAAGAGACTATCGATATCGGAGAGTACGCGATATCGAGCTCTCGCGTGCAATATCCCCCAGTCAATAACATCTTCCGGACATTTATGCAACGTTCAGAGAGTTGCTATCAGTGGCCATCCTCCTCACTGGGTATCCACTGCAAACGTTCTATGCATATCGAATAGGATCGTCCGGTACAATGACCACTTTTCGTGGGCGAAACTTAACCTGCATATGCTCGGAAACGTTATCGATACATGCTCTCCATGTCGTCATTGACGTTCTCTCTGTTCATGTACGATACGCGTGACACCATGTACACACGTTTGTGTAAGTGAAGGATCCGACCAATAGGATCTGATCGACGATCACATGGGACGAATATAGCGCTCTCCTTCGATAGTTACGAAGACTGTCGATTCTAGAAAGTTGGTGTAGAAGTGTATATACCATGGTAACGAGAATGTGGAATAATGAAAGTGGATCAATTTTCGGTCACTGGGTCGCCTTATGCTGGAACATCAGATTTGTGTCGAGTAATATTGTTCCGTAAATCTTTTGCGGGAGAAAACGCGTTTACGCTTGGAAAAGACTGTTGTGTCTGTTCAGCTTGTGAGTGTAAGAAAAAACTTCTATAGTCTATGGTTACGATACACTGGTACGTCAAAAATACTTCGTTTTTCATTCTTTTCATTTTTAATACAGAAACTTAAATACGTTATTTGTTTTATTCTGTGGATTCGTTTATATTTTATTTCGATATATAATTTTAATCGTCGATAATAATCGATTGATTAATCGATATCAAAAAAAAGATCTCTCTTGAAGAACATCTGATTGTTGAAATATTAATTAGCAGAAAGTACAATTAATACAGTATTGAAAATCAAAATGTGAATCGTATTCTAATAAATGATTCTCGATACACTCGAGTATTTTAGCAAATAGTTTGTTATCCAACGGATATAAGTCGCAATGTAACAGATAGGTTAGACATCCGAAGAAGAAAATCGTATTTTCGCGAATAAAGTTGAACAGGGTCATATCTTACAACAAATAAGTTGTTATCTAGTGAAGACTGGTTACGTTCTGATGAATAGGTCGCTGGTGAATCGAAACAAGCTATGTCTTCGGGGAAAATAGACGGTCTTTTAACAGGAACAAGTCAGTCCACGGTAACGAACGTTTCGTCTCGGGACGAAAACACAAACGGATGTGAATTCGAATCTGAAAATCGTGTAGTTCTACGAGCAACAAAAAATAATAGTTCTTTACGATACTTTCGTAGTTTTCCAATACTCCTAACTGAAACTTGTTTTAAAGAGTAAAAAAGTGAACAATTTTCTAGGTTAGAAATTTTTACGCCGATAAACTCTTGAAATAAGATATAAAATTAAAAATGATAAAAATGAATGACAAAATAAAAATAATAATTTTTATTTTTATTCAAAATATGTCTACTATTAATTCTTTTATTTGATGAAAATTATTATTTTAAATTATTAAATAATGATGTAAAGATTATTATGATGATTTCAATTTTACATATCTCTAAATTGAAAAGTTATCTGATTATAACTCTTTTATTACTATTTTTTTTATTTTAACGTGTTTTATATACAAAATAATATTAAAAATTAAGATTAATATATTAAAGATTTTTATCTTTAAAACTTTTAATACTACTATCTCTGATGAAAAATTGAACAATGAAAAAGCAAAAACTTAATCAAACATATTTAATAATTTGAATGCCAACAAAAATAAAAACAATTACAAAATATTGAATAAAATATTTTAGGAAACAAAGTTTATTTCTTTGTAAATTCATAATATTTTTTCTGAGACTTCTATTGTCTACATATTTTCTTTCAACTATTATTTATGTTTTTTCATTATTCTTCATATACAAAATTGTTAATTATTTATATCTTTTTGTATTTTTTATTTCATATTACATTGATTTAACATTTTCACGTGTTTTATCTTTAGATACCATTATATATTTCATTATTCTTAATGAGTTTGATATTGTGTTTGAATAGAAAAATTTTTTTCAGCGATTTAAGAATAAAAGATATATATCATACATATCATATAATCTATCAGGTTAAATTAAATTAGATTAGATTATATCATATAATTCCTGGATAATATATACATCTACACATAGCTTTCACATTGAACATCGGTTAACCACGATTTTCATAATTTTTTTAATCAGAAACAATTCTCTATTCGCGGGTGATTTAGTTGCGAAAACAAAATCGGCCAGCATCGAGGAATCACTGCGAAGGAAGAGCGGGGAACAGAAGTTGGGACATGCACGTGAATAGGTCGACTAATTGCGATCTCGAGAAACTGGTACGCGAAATTTACGGGTCTTTGTCCCGTTAAATGCGGCGCTGAGACTTTTATCGATGCCTCTCAACCGTGTTCCGTTTACGAGTCAGCAAAAGCGTGCGAACACGTAACACGGCGTCGTGTTATTGTTCGTTGGGCGCAAGGTTCGTTCACCCGATACGTCTGTAACGTTGTAACTCATAGTCGAATTCACCAGGTGTGCGAACGCGAGCCCTCACGATGGTTTCATCCCCCTTAACCACTCCCTCTCCGCGATAGTTTGAAACGTGAATATTCCGCGATGTGTATCTGTTTTCCATTGCGAATGTAACGCGATGCTAAGTCCTTCCACCGTGACGCTGTTCTCGGTGAAATAGATCCGTTGTTTGCGACAATTGTTGAATCGTTTTGTTGTGGAATTGGGGAACGATAGATAAAGGGGATGTTACGGTTAAGGGGGTTTGTTAAATGCCAGACAGTTAAAGGTTACCTTCAGCTGATACGAAAGAGAGTAGTTGCTCCTTTGGTAAATGCTTCTAAATCTTTTTCTCTTTGTTTCGGAAGGGAAATATGAAATTGGAATTCTTATTCGGAAATTGCATCGTTAATTCTGGAATTTTTGAAAATTTACGAAATCACTGTAGCATATTTTTAAATCATTGAATCGATAGAATATATTCGTTGTAAAATATACGATTATATTTGTCATTCATTTGTTTTATCTTGTTTTTTTTTTTTCATCTTTTATATGCTGTTTTTAACAAATTGAATTTTCTGAAATTGCATGAAAGAGAAATTGCATTTAACAACTTGCTAAATTATTATATAATTGATATTATATATTATAAATTAAATGATTATAATATATACTTTAAAGAAATAGTTTGATTAAATAAAATATTTGCAGAATTTCAAATAAATATATTATTATTAAAAAAATTATTGATATGTATTTATACGCGAGTATTTCAATAATAAATAATCAATATTGAGAAATTAATCATTGATAATAAAAATGCTGAATAGATATTAGGAATGATCAGAGAAATGTATTATATTATTTTTAGAAATATATATCGATGATTTAGATTATCAGAATATTTCCGTTCGTGAAAATATGAATATAAGGGAAGAAGAAAGTTGTAAGAAGGATATACCTTTTAGGATTTCCATTGAAAATGTGCCCTTTCATCAAAGAAATCTATAAATTACATTAAAATTCATGAGGAATGAATTAAGCTCCCTGAATAAAATTCTCCGGTCGTTATTCCAATAAAATCATATCATTTAATATATGCTTAATTGATTTTTAAAAAATATTCAATATTATCATGGATATATGTCCATCAGGGAAGAATAATTAAAAAAATAAAGATCATCTTGAAATTTTTGAAGTTTATTTAATTTTAAAGTTTACTTTATTGAAACATTTTTCCCCCCTTTTGTAATAAATAGTTTAATTGCATGACTCACTTCAAATGAAACATTTTATATATACTTGGATATTATTATAACGATTGTATTTTATCCATATATATTTTAATATTAAATCATAATGAAACTTCAAAATCAAACTTCTTATTTAACAATTAATGAACATTTCCATCTCAAACCATGCCGATCTTTTATAATAATATTTTAGTTAGATACTTAGAGATATGACAGAATATTTGAACGAAGGATTCTATTTCATACTGATGATTATAAATCATCATAGATATACATGATTAAATCCCAGATATTTTAATTAACAAAACAAGTAATAAGTTTTCGCTTTAACAATTGTTACCTATCTTCGAACCATACATCTATATTTTCAAAATAAAATATAATTTATATATATACCAGCCACTGGAGCCACTATATTTCTGCAAAATTTCAAATTAATCGTCACTTAATAACGATAACTTCGATTTACCACAAATTTCAAGAGTTTGTAATAACAGAATTTATTTTAATCAATTGTACTTCGATTTAACGATCTGATCTTTTCTTTGGCTCATTTTTATATCGTCAAATATTCGCGGGCCACGACAGAAAAGACCCTTTTCCGCATTATTAACACACCGTGGAGTTAAGTTGATCGCGAGTTGACATGTTACGCATGAATGGCCATCGAAATCATCGCACAATTACGATGCCAGATAACAGAACTGTCGGTCAATCAGAATGGCCCATTAATTGTCGATGCGCAAAAACGGAAATCGGATAATTGGATTTCTGCCGCCTATACATACATACATATATATATATCAATGCTCGAATTATGAGACGATTAATAATCATTCAACTATCATCGATCACCTCGCCATCTTATGAGGTGTTTGTCGATCGTCATTTTGAAATAATCATGTACGATTGTTTCACGTAACATAAGAAAAGTAACTATTCCAATCTTCTAATTTTTTAGCTGTCAATTTGGCTGGCAATTTTTATTAATGGTCATTTCTTTATTTCAAGGATGCACATCAATTTGATAATTTACGAATGTTTATTACTTTAAGGTATAAAATATATATAATACGTATCATCGAGATCGACATTTTTTTGTTTGATATTTTATTATAAAGAATTCGATTTGAGTGTTAAAATTATTATCATTTATGAGTTTCAATTAGATGAATAAAAAAGAACGTTCTTTATTTAAATTTATCTAACTTTTACGTAAAATATTTATAGACGTCTCTCTCAAAACTGATTCTTCCGAATCGATGTTTGAAATGAATTGCAAGAGCGATATTCGGTTAAGCGCTTCGTTCCCTTTTTCTTTTTTTTTTTCGAAACAAATTCACGTTTTGCGACCGCATTAAAAAGCGTTTCCCGGTCACGTTTCGGTAACATTCCGTCGCGGCAAGTAAATTCGCGTTAAACGGTGAATTCGAATTAACGCGAGCCTTTTTTTTTCCCCTTTCTTTCTTTTTTTGCACGGCCAAAGCGAACGTGACCCGATCCGACTGACCGCTTTATACAATTTTAAAACAAAACCGAAACAAAAAAGAGAAGAGGGGAGAGGGGGTAAAAAAAAATATATGTATAAAACGGAGATTAAAAAAAAAAAAGATAAAAATGAAGAAAAATTGCGCTAGTTGGGAAACGGTTGACCGGGAAAAAAATTCATTCGTCGATTCGAGAACAAAATCCGTGGGAAAAAAAAAATATATATATATATATCGGGAAATGAAATTGTACAGTTTATAGAATTTTTCCACGAACGATCGTTTGATCGAAATGTACAAGATTCTTCGATTTATCTTTTCCATGATATCTCTTCATGGAGATAAACGGAGGGATATTCAAAAGAAAATACGAGTATACGATCTGGTTTCTTATTTTCCTTACTTATCCCAGGTACACGTAAAAAGATTTTGAAAAAAAGAAAAAAAAACAAAGGAGAGAATGAAACTGTCGCTTTCCGTCCTCGTCCAACAAAGACGGTGTTTTCGAGAATTGTGAAAATAAAGGGGGAAAAAAGGAAAACCTCGTGTAGTTACCTTTAATTAATAAAAAAAAAAAACAACTTATTCACATTCTTTTTTGCAGAGACGGAGGAAAAACTTTCTGTCGAAACTATCCACGAGCTCTCCTCACAAAGAGACATTCAGGAAGTCTCTATTTGCACTCGTCTCTTTTACCCAGCACTCTTAATTAATAAAAAAACAAGGGAAATTCAGTTGTCTCCGCGGGACAAGACAGAATTTTCTGATTTCTATTAAGGTACTGGGTACATACCTCTTTTGTAATCCCTCGTATCAAAGATCGACGGGGATGGAGGAAAAATATCGCGAAGAATATCTGAAAGATTTTATGAATATCGTGAATATGAAGAAACCAGTGATTTTTTAAACGCATTTAATGGATATACATACATTTGGTATAGAAAAATAGATTGAAGCTGCCCCACTTTTTCCCTGCCTCATTTTATCTAACACGAGTTAGAATTGTTTATTATAAAATTAATTAAATTTACTCGATAAATAAGCCTCAACCTTTTGTCGGCCTCTAGAATTAATCATCCAAAGAATTGAATTATTTTATCGCTTCAAAAATGATATTAAAAACACATTGACCACCACTGCATAATGAAATATTATTCTTTAGAGAGTTCAATATTTAAATACTCTTATCATAATAATAATACTCCCTATTTAAATATTGCAGATACTCTGACATTTAGAAAGACATTCGTTTCGCTCGATGTCCTCTTTAATCTTCACGCGAAGAAAAAATTTTCTTTCTACACGTAGGTATTTTACACCAGGCGGAAAGTCTTCGACACTTTCGGCCGCTATTCTTAATTAAAAAGTGCACGCTTGGACGGGGCGTTCGCCACGCCGTTATTAAAACGAATCGCAGACCTGTTCACATCGGGTCCTCGAGTTGCGCAGCCTGTTTTCCCGCGGAAATCTCTTGTAATTCCGCACGGTTTTACATTTTAATGCTACCCACCCGGACGACGATTCGTCGTCGTCGTCTGAAAAGTAGGATCCACGACGTGAAACGGTCCTCGAAGCTGGTCGTGGCCAGGAGGTGGCTTGGCCTGCTTGGCGGGATTAATTAACGTCAGAGACCTTGGCGAGCTTTTCACGGTAAAAGAAATAAGGAATTTGGACAGCTAGTGGCCATCTCTTATTTCGTGTACCTAAAACAGAGGTTGTTTAATTAACGTTACGGCGAATTTTTGCCAATTTTCGTTTTACTCCTTCGTTTCCTAGACTCGTGAAAGGATCAGTGAATTATTACGAATTGTATATTAATTATTTACTTTTTATTGTGTATAGTTTTACTTCTTAACAGTAGACTTGTTTTTTTCTTCCTTTGTGATATTTTATTATTTGTAATTGTTTTCAATAAATATTATGTAAATTTTTTATATTATACGTTGACGAATAAGTCATCGTTGTTTTCTAATTATTGACATTTCTACATCAATTATTGTTTATTTAGTTACATCGATGAAATTTTCATATTCTATTTTATGTGATATTGGATTCGACTTTTATTCGATAATCTTTCTTATTATTATCAAAGTCAACGAAATATTTAATAAATGATGAAATTTAATCTCACTTTATAACGACGAGAAAATTGATTATAACATCCAACTTGGTTGTTTCTAGGCAACCAATATTCTATTCGTCTACCGTTTACACTTTTGTAACAATAAAGATATCCGGAACAATCTTTCCTAATAAAAATTCCAATTCGACGAGGAAAATTATCGTCGATTCTATTTAAAATTTTCCACCCCGGCCATTTTCGTTCCTGCTCGAAGAGAAAGATCTGGATGAAAGAATCCGGAATAAGCATAAGAGTGTGGATGCAACAATAGCCCGAGAAAGTTAACAATCGAGAGAAGCCAGCCAGAGTGCAGAAATAGTTTCTCTCGTGCAAAAGCAATTCCTCTTCGTGCCAAAGAAGCATCTCTGATGCAAAAAAAAAAAAAAAAAAAAAATACAAACGGTTTTTTCGCATAATTCGTTTTAAACAAACCTGTAAAAGGTTTCGGATCGCACTCCGGTTCGATTCCGCATTCTTTTACTTGTAAAATAAAGTAAAAGGATAATCAAACGGTTATCTTTTAGTAGTAGTAGTAGTTTAAATTATTGAAATTTAAATTTAATCGCAAAGGAAAAGAAAAAAATAAACGATAAATTTAAAAATTATTACTTTTATTCATTTTATAATATTTTACTTGTTAATTTACTTGGTAATTTGTTTTTCTTTTTTTCTTTTTTTGTAAGGAAATATTTATATAATAATCTGGCAAGAGAGATGATCATTTTTTGTAAAAATTCTTGTAAAGGTATCATCATATGATATTGAAATACCAATTCTACGATGTAAACTAATCGATAATAAATAACAAAGAATTAAAAATAAAATAAAAGGAGAAAAGAAGCAAAGAATTAAAGAACGTTTAAAGGTGCAAAATTTCAGAAATCTATGGAATATCTATTTCACGAACGATACAACACAGACTATAATATTAACTATAATATAATACAATAATTGGATACGCTTCAAATACGTTCTTTAAATAACAAAACAATATTTCTCGTAAGATTATTCAAACCTGTTCTCGATAATATATCTCTTTCCACAACGATTCGAAACGTACCGTAAATTAAAACCTTCTAAAATCAACCTCTCCCCCCTCCCCCCTCCAGAAAAAAGAGAAACACATTTCGTCCCTTTTTAAATTCGAAAAACGAAAATCGCCGTTTTAAATCTCGATACCGCCCGCAACGTTTAAAATACAGATCTCGATACCGATCGTATCGATAGTGAACTGGATCCTGTGTTCCTCGACACAGGTTTCGATTTCCCCGGGATAATTGCAAATCTGTTTCGCGCAAAATTCCAACCGGTGCCGCCGCTCGGAAATTATTCGCTGTTTCAAATCGTTAGCCCAGAAATCGTATAATAATTCGCGGCGCGGCGTTCGCCCGCCGGAATCGCGTTTCCGCCTCTGCCGTATTTCCGGGTCGCGATTCCGGGCGCAGAGAGAGAGAGAGAGAGAGACTATGCATCGTCGATTCCCATGCATCCAAACTACTTATGTATATGTCTACAAGTCTCATCACGATTGTTAATGAGATGGAAATTCGAAACTTTGGGAAAACAAGTATCGCCTCCCCCCTTTCCTTCTAGATTTTGCCCGGGAGGATTATTTTGAACTTTCTCGCGTGAACTTTATAGCATTCGGTGTTTCCAATTAATTCCACTTATTCGAATTTAACTTATCGTTTGT